GTTTTCTGTGTGTTTTGGTAAATGTTGGAGCTTTGGTTTGTTTTGGTGGTAGTTTTTGGTTCGATTGAATTTTTTCATCTTGTGATTCATTTCGTGAAGGTTGGAACGAGAATGTGAAGGACAGATTGATTGTAAGAGAGTGTGTGTAATATGTAGATGGAATATGTAATGAAGGTGGTAATTAGTTAATTAGATGTTTTGATGTATTGAGATTCTAAGGGTTCTTATATTTTTTAACAAATCGCAGTAGTTCCCGCAGACAACGCTTCAGTCACAAGAACCAAGAGCTGGATCGATCAGCTCAGCGGAGCCGTTTATTTCCTAGCATCACGTAAAGAGTAATTAAAAAGTTCTGATCGTTTCAATTCAGTAAGGACTTCTTCTCTGATTGATCGGGCGCTTTAATTGTTCCCAGCACTCTTTGTTTCTTCATTGCTACAGCATTCTTCATTCCTCGTCGATCCGTTCTCCGCTTCCGTTCTGTTTCGCAGCGTCGTTTCCACGAGAATCAACAGTTCTTAACAGGTTTTCCATGTCAATAATTAAGAATCCTTACCGACAGTCTGTGAGCTAACACGGCGCACTGGATTATAATACAATTCGTTCGATTTATCTTCAGTGATAATACCTTAACCCCTACCACTTCTAAACAGTAATATTACATCCAACAAATTCGTCACTAAACTTATTGCTCTCAACCCTAGAAACATTCAAACATTAAATATTGAAAATACAGAAACAACCGAAAAGAATCACTAATGAAATATCCAACAACTTCACTTTCCAAAATTTTATAGTATCTCCAAAAGTGCATCTACTAAGATTCAATGAATTTACAATTCAATCTGCTAAATCAATTTCTCCAACGATTTCCCAAACCATTTCTTATCCCTTCATTAATCACAAACAGATTAAATCAAGATACAATCAGCGAAATCAAATTCACAGAAGTAATCTAGCACAGTACTGAACGTCTTAATTGTAAACATTTCAACAATAACAGTGCTAAAATTAATAAAATGACTTTTGCCGTTTATATAGAGGCATTACTTCGTTAAGGGTTGAAAAACCTAATTGCATAATCCTCTGAGCTTCTTCCAACGAGTTCCGCCAGCGACAAAACAAAGGTCACACTCTCATTTTCTATTTTCCATGGCAGCCACTGTTCCTCCGCGTCGAAAGGCCTTTTTAGCAGGCACAGCGAATGCGTTCGATCCGCTCGATAGCAGGCCGCGCGCTTTTGAACGCGGCCCGACGCGCCGCGCCGCGCCGCAACCACGCAGTCGCCGGCGACGTCGTCGTCGCCGTAACACATTTACTTTCAGCGGCGGACTGTGAAGGGCCGCGATACGCGATATTCATATTTATTTATGAGGAATGTACACGGCTCCTATTGATTTTTCGACGTTAACGCCGTCGGCTCGTTATTCGAGCGCCGGCCACCCTTTTCACCCTTTCATGCCGCACGGCGGCCGCACGGCGGCCGCACGGAACAAAGCCGTTGCCGCCGCGGTCGAGCTCGAAAACGATGATCGATCCCGTGCCCGCGCGAAACACGGTTCAAATACGAAATTAGTCGCCGCGGTTTTCGGCTATTTCCGTCGCGACGCGGGACGAACCGGAAATGGCACGGAAAGAAAGTAGGATTTCAAGTGGGGGTTCGTTGGCAGTTTCTTTTTGTAAATGAGATAAATGTTGAACAATCAACGTCTCAGCTTCCTTTAAATATTATTAAATAGTAGTATATTAAAGTTCTTCGAAACTTGTTTAACTGTGTTTGTAATAGTGTATAAAATATTGTGAGTTTAGGAAAGAAATGATTTTCTAATTTGTTCTATATAAAAATAAGGCATACAATTGTTATTGGTGTAAGTATGTAAATATCAGAGTAAAGATAATATGGATTGTATATTTTTTATGGTGAGGTATATTATTATCCGTATATATTCAGTATCATTATATCATCGTGTATACCGTGATAAAGTACACTGCAACTATCCCGTAATAAATCTCACGCTAATGTCACGTGGGAGCTTGATACACATTAATTATCGCAGCTGGATTAACAAGCTATTTTTACCGAGACACAGATTGACGCTCTTCCTATATTTACTTTCAGCTATTTCCACGCCGAGCTGCACGTACGTGAGGTACAGCAGCTTGGAGGATGTCAGGCCGCAGGAGTTAGGATTCCTTCAGCTAGACTTCACCCCCACGGTGGTATCGAAAATAAGGTAAGAGAGTTGATCGCCCTGGTTGTGCATCTATAATTAATCGTCAACCCTTTTATCGCTGCGACGACGCACATTTATTGGCGTTAAAGTAACCGCCGCATTTTCTCGCCGCTTATATGAACACACCCCCTTGGAATAGTTCGCGATGTTTATGCGACACGCGAGACAAAAGAATTCCTTTCGGAGAGGTGGATACTTTGCCGATGAATTTTTCGGAGGAAAAATAATTCGGAGGAATAACGATGAGGAATTTTCAAAAGTGACCACGAAGAAATATTGTAACTTGTGTGTCAATGTAAAAGTCATTGTTAGTAATACAAGGAATTATTCAAAGACACCATGAGATCCCACAGAAATGATGAAAACAATTTTCACGGTTTCCCTTTTATCTCTGCGAACGAGAAACGAAGTTATTGCCGGAACTCTCGTGGACAGTGGTCAGCGGGCGACAGTCCGGATACATTTAATTAAATGTAAATGAAAAAATAGCACTCGGGCAGGAGGCGTTTAATTAGAAACTGCTGAGCTGAATTTCAGATAAGCGAGGCGGACGCGAAATTTCGGTCGCGCGATGTTCGTTGCGTTCGCATTACGACCTGTCCACCCTTTTTACTGATCCTTCGGTTGTGCGCGATGAATAGAAATTGCGAGATAGTTCATTAATAAGGAGTTCCATTAGGAAACGGATGGAGCTGCTACGTTATCTTAATTATCTCGGTTGAAATTTCGGGTCGGGATTCAACGAAGTCTCGGGAGAACTTCGCCAAATGCTTCCGACTCCGCGTAGTAACTAAGCGAATGGTAAAAATCAGCAATAATGTTGAGGACTCCGTAACGCTGACAACGGGAGGAACATGAATTAAGCGCGAGCAGCAGTTGAACACGATAATTAATTCGAAATCAGCAAGTACGGCTCGCGGATTAACAGGCAGCAGCGTCGCTTTTAGTTGTCGTGCTCCAGTGTACCCGCCCCCGAGACCCGTGGCACCCGCCCTTCGGCCATGTAGTTGCCACAGATAAACGGGAATACTTCATAAGCCCATAATCCAGAAACAAAACGCCCGCCAAGAACAAAGGGACCCGGTTCTCCGACCTCTTCCTACAATATCGCTTGGCTCGCCGAACGTTCTCACTTTGGGGCAACCATTTCGGCTACAATCCGTCGGTGAACCTTGTTTTTCTCTTTCCTTCGTCGAATTTTGGCGAACATCGGCGAACATGGGCGAACATGGACGAACAGTGATAAATTTCTTAACTTTCTTCTCGTTACTTACCATGTACACGATATTTATTATATATAGCTTCTTTGAATTCTTATTATCTTTGTTATAAGTCACTTTCTCCATCTCTAATTCCTCGGTAAACCTTGTTCTCTTTCTTTCGTCTAATTTTGGCGAACATCAGCGAACAGTGATAAAGTTCTTAATTTTATTCTCGTTACTTACCATGTACACGATATTCATTATATATAGCTTCTTTGAATTCTTGTTATCTTCGTTATAAGTCACTTTCTCCATCTCCAATTCCTCGGTGAACCTTGTTCTCTTTCTTTCGTCTAATTTTGGCGAACATCGGCGAACAGTGATAAAGTTCTCAATTTTCTTCTCGTTACTTACCATATATAAGATATTTATTATATGTAGCTTCATTGAATCCTTACTGTTTTTTTTATAAGTCACTATCTCCATCTCCCTTTTCCTCTGTACTCCTCGCTTTCGCGGGCACATTATTTCTCTCGGTCGTTCTCTCGGCCAAGCCGTTGAAGCACTTGCTTTATTAAAAGTCACTTCACGCTGCCACCGAAACCAGCTGCTAACTTTGCTCCGGCTTTTGTTTGGAGCTCGTTGAATGGATCCTATGGGTTCACGCTTCAACCTCCGACGGCATGAAAAACGGATTCGATTCGGTTGACGGTGATAACGGGGAGAACTGTAGAACTGGGTCGCGTCTGGATTGGGTTGTTGTGTTAATATTGACGATCTGGGAGTGCTGAAATTGATAAAAGTGATCATTCGTGGTTGTTGAATGGAGATCCGGTGGAGTTGTGAAGGAAGTTGTTTGACTGTAGGAGGGAGGGCGGATATGGTTGACTCGCACTGCTTATTGGTGAATATTCTATTCTATTACTGTCCTTAGTTTGCCATGCACATATGTAATTGAAGACGTAATAGACTTATCAGACCTATACAGTAAACTAGAAGTAACACTAGATGCTATATGGTTGACCTGTACCACTAGTTTAAGAATGTTTCTCTCATTCATCTAAGAATTCGACGATTTTAGAAATAATTTTCCTTTAATAATATTATATACTGTCTCATTCTTCGCCCTACTTTTATCGTTTTTATCTTATACAATCTCTGTTTTGCCATTGGTTGAAAATAAACAAGCAATCGATACATAAACACGCAGAATGTTGAATTATTTCCGGTAATAGCTTCCCGACACAAAAAGGGAGAAAATCTTTTTTTCCCCGTACGAAATACGACGGTATTTACAGTACAGATTTAGTTTACATCTATGCAGGGAAAGTTGCACGGTCGAAAAACTCGTGAAAAATGTAGAAGCAACGGCCCCGGGCTGCTCCGATAAAATCGACCGACTGAAACCGCGTAACGGAACCAATGGAACGACGGCTAAATATAATATATCGTAAATCATTATCAGAAAACGCGATCAGCCGTCGGTTCGACCAGTCGCGCCGTTCCTCGCATTGTTCGGTGCCAATGAAACGAGAATTTCAATGGAAATACCATTATTATGATACGAGGTAAATATCGAACGAAAATAATGAGAATAGAATTATATGACATCTGAGTGGATAATTAACTTTCTCGTATTTTAATACGATGCATCAGCTCGATGCTCGTATTCAAAATTACGTAACTTCATATTCAAATTGCACGGCGAACCGATTACTTCCATTTTTAATCAAAAACCGAACGATCCTTTGTTAACACAGAAATGCTTATCACCACATATTCAAAACAGCACCATATAACATTAATATTCCACATAATCAGCACACACCCGTATTTAACTTTCCATCAATCTTTCAAATCAATTTACAATAACTATAATTATCAAAATGTCGCTTCATCACAACAAACAAACATCTAATTTCAACACTCTAACCAATTTCTAATCCAAAATTAATATACTCTCATCCAACATCTCATATTTCTTAGATACCAATACTATCTAAAAATATTCACTATTAACAAACACCAATAAACATCTTCCAAGTATCTAAACGTCTCCATCATCCCCAAGCAATACCAAAGAAATCACCCTCAGAACATCAACACTGCTCCATCACCTTTATCATCCCAACCCCACAATAGCCGCCACAATCGTCCCCAAATCCTTGGCATCAGTCATCGGAACAGATGAAAAGCTACCCAAATAAACCTGCCCTCTCCCAGCGGGAGGTCGAATCAGCTGCGAGCAGCTTGAAAAAGCGTTCGTCCTTCGGTTTCGCCCAGCAGCCCGGACACTGGTTCCGGATCGGTGTTATTACACCGTATCATGGACTCGATTACCGTGACGGTTACAGGCCCATAGAGTCCCCGGCGATGATACATCTTGTAATCTCTTTTCCCCGGGGAACAACGGGGTTCTCCTCGCGGCCGCCGGCCATAATCTATTCCCCTGCCGCCCTACTTCCCTCCCTCCGTCCGCGAGTCGAGCCTCCGGTGATTCCAGCTCGCTTTACCCAACTTCTTCGCAACACGACGCTGAAACAGCCGTCTTTATCCTTTCGAGGGAGGGTTTACTCTCCCTAGCGTGGAAGCGGATAAACAGCGACAGGCAAAACGCGGCCGCGAAATATCCGAGCTAGTCGTTGCCGACTTCCACGGGACGAGCACCCTCGGAATTGCCCTCTCGCTACCCTTCTTTGCAACGTCGCTGCGTCGTGTCGCTGAACGCTTAATTGCCAGAGGAAACTATGAGTCGGGAGATTGTTGTGTTTTATGGGGGGAACAGTGCGAATTGCGTTTTTCAAGGGTGTCGATTTTCTTGGTGAGATCTTTGAAATGGAAGTATTTGATGAGAAGTATGAGAATCAGTTTTTAATTTGTATATAGATGGATTGGATGAATTTAGTTTCTGTTATTAGTTGCTTTGTATATTCATTTGGGATGTATCGAAACCTTTTCTTATGGAAAATGATAATGACATGATAAAAATGAAACCAACATCTAATAATCTTTCAACTACGTTCTAACCACTTTCTAATCTAAAATTAATACACTCTCCACATTCAACATCTCATTCATATTTCTTAGACACCAATACTGTCTAAAAATATTCAGTATTAACAAACTTCAATAAACATCTTCCAAGTATCTTCTCAATGTCTCCATTATCTCCCGATTAGATGAGAAGTATGCAAATCAGTTTTCAATTTGTATATAGATAGATTGGATGAATTTAGTTTCTGTTATCAGTTGCTTTGTATATTCATTTAGGATGTATCGAAACTTTTTCTTATAGAAAATGGTAAATTGAGATCTTCGGCTGCCAAACAGTTTCAATCAGTATTACAATCGCCAGATAATATTAAAAAATAGACATTGAATACCTTTGCCAACATATTCTTCGTAGATTTATACAGACAACTGATAAGAACAGCTCAAGAAAAGTTCCCGAGGTCCATTAGATCCCGCTTCCTCGCTGCGGAAGGATCAAGCGCGATTTTCGCCGGTCGGGAGGGGGCAGAAAGAAAGAGAGAAAGATCGGAAATCGCTCGGGCCGTTATTTCCCCCCTGAATGGACGAAAAACCCCCATGGCCATTGTGCCGTCTCCGAAGCCGAGGAATAAGGGTGGCCATTCCTCCGGTCCCCGTGTGGCCTTTTTTCAACAGAACTTCGAAATTTCTGGGTCGAACGAGCCACCGGATATTACCCGGATTCAAGCGAATCGAGGACTTTTCTTCCCCAGCATTGTATCTCCCGGCCCGTCCGATGGAAATCTGAAACGGATTCAAACCGGCCGG